TACTTAATTGTAAGCGTACAAATAAGAGAAGATGAAAATATCATCCAAATAGGAGGTACAGATAAGGTGCCTCTCTTAAAAAGAACATTAAGAAATAAAGAGCATGGGACTACATTACTCAATAAATCAAAAAGTGGGCCTAAACCAACATGCAAGAAGTGACAGCTTGTTCCCCAATTCGCAATTGTGGAGATTTTTAGAGATTGCAATTTCAAATATCTTCTAAGGACATGTTTACTTAACAAAAACGAGGAAATAAAATAACCAACGAGCTTAAAAGTAGATGTAAAATCAACAAGCTAGTCTCCTTGATGATCTAATAGACTAATATCTGATTTTTAAGTATTTGATTATGTAAGAAAAAATTTACACTTTTTCTATTTCTTATCTATAAATAAAGGTCTTTTTTTTTTTTGTGGTCCCTATGGTGACATGTCACTTTAAATGTGACCCTTATGGTGAACCAACTATTAATTAAACTCTATGGTGAGCCTATTAGCAATTGAGGTCCAAATCTAAAGTTCCGTTAGTCTTCCATTAAATAAAACCATGTGAATATCACATGTGGATCTGTCAAAATTAAGTTTATTTATTTTGAAAAATAAAAAGACAAAAGCATGATTGAATTAAAATAAAATTACAAATAAAAGAAACTCGTAAAAAAAAAAAAAAAAAAAAAAAAACCAGCAGTTCCTGTATCTCATCTCAGGCTCCCAGACACTACTGTAGCCACTTATGGACCTCCTCCACCATCACTAACCATCACCCCAATTTGATAGCACATGTATCTCAACCTATATAATGCAGTATATATGCATTGCAAAATATATGCATTCAGACGGGTGAAGGGCATTATAGAATTAAAGACAATGGGTGAAAAGTATTGTAGAAAACTCAATCTTCAGGTCTACCCTCCGCAAATGAACTTCAAGAGCATAAGAAAGTTAAAGAATTAAAATTCAAAGAAGATTAAGAAAAAAAAAATTAAAAGGTTGTGTATTGGCTGACTATGACTTGCATAAAACTACATTACCAATTAAAGACAAAATTGAAAGGCATTTATGCATTCAAACTGGTACAAATTGATACAAGAATGAAAATTCAGGTAAGATTAAGACTCTAACTCATGATCAAAGACGTGTTAGCATTGAAATAAAAAACAATGGTATATTAGAAGTATTAGGATTTCCAAACGAAATTAAATCATACCTAAGAATTTAGAAGTGACTTCACCAGTTCACCTTCACCTCTTCTCCTAGCCATTGACGTGGTTTTACAGGTTTAGTTTCAGTCTTCGTGTTCAAGCTTTTTTTTCTGTAAAATCTAATTTCAGTTAAACCCTTAATTATACTAGATGTCCATTGAATAAGATGTAATTTGGATTGAAATGACGAATTTGACGCTTCATGTGATAGTAACGTGAGTTTATTTAACGGAAAACTAACAGAAATTTGGATTTGGACCTGAATTGCTAACAAGGCTCACCACAAGCGTTTAATGAAAAGTTTGTTCATCACGAGGATCACATCGAAAGTGACGTGTCATTACAGGGATCATGAAAAAAATTGGCTATAAACAAATGCATAAGTAAGTTAAAAAGGTGAAATGATTTTTTTCTTTTTTATATTTTAACAAACATATGAAACTCAAGATTCAAAATAATTCAAATTCATATTATTTATAAGTAAACACGCTTAATATCTTTTTTGGTCGAATCCCCAAATATGTTATAGCGATTGGGAAATACAAATAACGTCAAGGTCACATGATTCATTTCGACCATAAAAAATAGGTAACGTGACTCATATTTTATTTTATTCATGTATATAATGTTTATATTCCAGCCACGATATCTCATCTTTACCGCAAATAGTACAAGAAATTAATTGTTTATGCAAAAATCGAAAACGTGATCAATATGATATGTAAATTGATCACATCATATTTTGTCAGATGATGCACTAGACTAGAGTGCAAATATGGTTAAAGAAGCTTAGGCCCAAGAAATTATGAGTATGTCGTAATCATTTCACTAACATGCGTAAGTGTCTCCGCTTCTAGAGTTGTTAATTTGTTATATGAAATTGTATTTTCAATTCAAATTCTTTCGGGTAGCGCAACTTTCATGCTCAATTGGTTTGACACCATACAAACTTTTCGGAAAAAGAATAAAACTTAACTTTTAACATGAAGATCTGAAGATGAATAATAGGATCAAGATCCTCTCCTGAGCTAAGGGTGAAGATCCTCCTAAGAAAACCCATCGGGTCATTGAAATTTTTTCCAACGGCTACAATTATTATAACTTTTAGAGGGGCCTCCTGTTTGTAACCGTTTCAACGGCCCGATATGTTTGCTCAGAAGGATCCTCACCCTTAGCTCAGGAGAGGATCCTGATCTGAATAAATCATCTGTATAAAGAACATGAGAATGAGAAATACAACCTCTTAGAGCAAAAATTGGCTCGGTAATCCCATCAAGTTGAAGTCGACTCAGACCCCTTGATTATGTAACGACTAAGATGATGACCAGAAGATAGATGAGAAGAAATCGTGGCTCTACCATTGGTGAGAACTCTTAGATTTGATTATTATGAAAATGAATTCGAACTAAATTATTATGGTAGTCATTGTGAAGTTTAATTCATTTTTTCACTACTCAATATAGATAATATCGGATGTATTCAAAATAATTATTTAGTTTAGTGGGCACATAACTTATTTACTTATAAAGAATTCTCATAAAAGGTCACATTTAGATCATGGCAACACTGGCCTACCAGGTCCACCTCTTTTATTTATTTTCAAACTTTGCTTTTTTCTTTCATTTGTTTTTTCGCATATGAATAGTGAAAAGAACATCAAACATTCACAATGCATGGCATTGCCCAAATTAAGTTATAATTACATATTATTTAGCTAATTTTTCTTGTCAAATTGATGCAGCACTTTGCTAGCTCGCTAATTCTACAGGAAGGACTTGCATGAAATATGAATGTTAATGTAGCGGTGTTTCCAATCAATCATGTAATATTATGTGAGAACTTAAAAATAAAATACGTGACATAGTGTCCTAGGTTCAAAATGTCAGAGTAGCTTCCAAAGAATGCAAATAAGTCCTCTAAATCAGGGAAGCTTTAACATGAAATAGCTAAGGGTTTTCTTATTACATCTTGAACCCACTTTGCTGTATTGTTTATTTCACTGTAAAAGCTCTGCCATGTTCATGGATTCCGATGAAACGTTAGCACATACCTACTTTTAGATCACAAATTCAAATACGAAACAATTCCGACTTATGATGATGTCGAGTTCAATAAAATTTATTATGATTGGGTTGGCTCATTGTTTGAATTAGCTAAAATTTTCAATCATTTAGTGTTAGTATATCCTGGTATAGAAAATAAAAATTAAAAAGTGTTTGACAACGCTGTTATTGTCTTCAAATCAATCAGCTTCTACTTTTACATGACCTTATTTGATTTTGATACACCAGATGGTTATATCCACAACCTTAAGTGGATTGATTGGGATGTAGATTTTTGTGATGTTAACTAAATAGTAAGTAGCATGCATACATGACTCATTCCGAAACACTTTTAAAATGACTGAAAGCACTAGAGAAATTTTTTTTGGATTTCAAAAGCAAACACCAATTATGTGCTTCTTTCAGAAAGCACTTAAAGTGTTTTTTTTTCTAGGATTTACTTATATTTTTATTAAGGATTGGTTTAAAAAATATTTTCACCAAAAACCTTTTCAGCTTTTCTTTTTCTTTTTCTTTTTTTGGGAAATCTCAACAGTTCAAAAGAAATTTTATGCTTTCAGCTATTTTAAAAACATTTTCAAACGAGTTCAATCATATTGAATCTTTCGGATGGAATGGATGCTTTTTGTTGCTAGAACGAGCCATCTCCATTGTGGAGGAGGTAGTGATATAGATTTGGCATTATAATAAATTTTGGTATTGGAACCAAAAAAAAAAAAAAAAAGTTCTGGTACCAATTTAGAACAAAGAATTATGTCACACCCGCAATCTCCAAATTGAAGAGAAAACCTTCTTATCTAATACAAAGAAATTGGATGTTCAAAGAAAAATTATTTCATTAAAAGTATAAGAAGGGTATTCCTAAAAGATTAGTAAATTATTTTGGGGTTTCAGTAAAACAAGGACGTCCAACGAAAGAATTTAGGTGTAAATAGAACAGCTTATTTTTATTTCGTATTTTTTATATTTTATAAAGTCTGTAGAATTTTATTATTTTCTATTTTATTTTTTTGGAGTTAGGGTTTGTGACACTAAATAAGAAAAACTTTACTAAATAAGAAAGACTTTTAGCGTGTACTTTGACCATCTTTCATATTATGGTGTGACAAATGAGGATGCGTAGTATGTACTACTATAAAGTCTAGAGTCCTGTAGGCAAGAAATTTCAACGCCGCTTTCAAACATTCCAGTGTGTGTTATTCACACAATTCAATCCTCGTGGCCGGCTGCCTTGTGTTGCCTAAGATCATCACTCACGCGTAGTATTGACTTCGATATAATTAGAAATGGGAGACTGGCGGAGGAGAGGAGTCTGCGGCCTCCATTAAAGTAGTGTGTAGAGAGAAAAAAAAATGATTTTTTGATATTTAACTTTAACTGATTAGTTGTAATTTAAAATAATATGCACAACAAGTTATAATTTAAAAAAAAAATGTTTACAAGTTGGTTGAATGAAATTTGAGAAGAAAAAGAAAAAAAACAAAACTATAGAAGAAATTACGCTATCTTGATTTTTTTTTTTCTCTAAGTATAACCAGATGTTAATGTCTCCATTTCTAAAGAAAGTTTTTAGTTCCATCCTTGCGTACGAGACATCCAACTTTTTTGGACACACATGTTTCATTTTTAAGTTTCTTTGGATACCCCGACTATCTTTGTTACGCCAAAAAGTAGACTGCCAAAGATCTGTAGCCACTCAATAAGTTGATTAGCACTCAAGTACTTTTCTTCCGCCACACAAGGAGTCAATTGCTAAAGGGCTGAGCACGTCAATGGTGGCAATTATTTGCCAATTGCCTTTGATCAACTGGTCAGTACCTTCCATGTAGTTCCTTCTTATCTTCCTTACTATTCTTGTGTCCGTATTGAGAATCACACCATGTGTACGCCCATACACACGAGAGCCACACCATCTATATGTCCACACACACAAGAACCACACCATTTATACGTCCACACACACACAATTAAACGGGACTCCTTGTATTGGGATTCGGGAGGGTGTTTCTCTACATGCTTATGCTCTAAACTTCGACCATTTCTAAGTCCTTCACCTTCTTCTCAAGCTACGTTAAGGTCTTGGACTTGCTTCTTGCTTCTGCAATTCCGAAAACCCTAATGGCTTTAGCAATTCCTTTAGGTTTCCTCTTCTTGTTTCCCATGTTTTCTCCGGCTTGGGGAGTTGAGTTTTTGTTCAACGGATTCAATGGAACCGATGCAAATGACCTGATCTGCGAGGGGGCGACTATAATCAAGCCCTCCGGCATGCTCAAGCTCACGAACACATCACATAATATTAAAGGCCATGCATTCTATCCCAAACATATAAACTTATTTGATAAAAACTCTTCTTCTTCGTACCCTAATGCTTCTTCCTTCAGCACACAATTTGTTTTTGCAATAGTCTCCCCAAGTTCCGGCCCCGGAGGCTTTGGCCTAGCCTTCACACTCTCTCCCTCTCCAAAATTCCCCGGGGGGGAACCCGGGCATTTCCTTGGGATTTTCAACTCCACAACTGACGGTAATCCCTCCAACCACATCTTTTCTGTGGAATTCGACACGGTGAATGGATTTAAAGAGAACTCCAACACTGCAGGAAACCATGTTGGTATAAACATCAACAGTGTCGACTCTGAAGCATCTGAACCGGCTGCGTACTTTGTCAAAGGAGCACACAAAGAAGAAGTAAACTTGGAGAGCGGTGATCTCATCCAAGCTTGGATAGACTATGATGGCGAAGCTCAAAAGCTGAATGTCACAATATCTCCCATACACGTGGAGAAACCCGAGAAACCGCTATTGTCAGAAACTATCAATTTATCTACTACTCTTCAAGAGACTATGTACGCCGGCTTCTCTGCATCCACCGGAGAACAAGCAAGCTCTCATTACATAATAGCGTGGAGTTTCGCGGTGGACGGAGCACTGAGACCAATCAATATTTCTCAACTTCGTAAACCGGCAAAAGAGAAAGGCTCATCCTCTTACAAACCTGAAATCAAGGCTCTTATAATCGCCTTAGCGGTTGTGGTATCCATGTTATTGGTAGTTTTGTTGTTCTTCACCTTGTACAAAGGACGGCATGATGAGTTTGAGAGTCTTGAGGATTGGGAGCTGGATTCTCCTCACAGGTTCAAGTACAAGGATCTTTATGCAGCAACAAAGGGTTTCAAGGCCTCCGCTGTAGTTGGAGCCGGCGGTTGTGGTGAAGTTTACAAGGGCGTCTTACCCTCTAGTGGATGTGAAATCGCGGTTAAGAAGATAACCCGAAATTCTATCCAAGGAATGAGGGCCTTCGCCTCAGAAATTGAGAGCTTGGGAAAGTTGAGGCACAAGAACTTGGTCCATCTCCAAGGCTGGTGCAAGAAGAAGAAGAACCTCCTCATAGTCTACGACTACATCCCATACGGAAGCTTAGACTCACTCATTTTTGGGTCCGAAGACAACTTTGTGTTGAGCTGGGCACAAAGATTCAACATCCTCAAAGGCGTTGCATCAGGGCTTTTGTACCTGCATGAGGAATGGGAGCAAGTGGTGATTCATCGCGATGTTAAGTCGGGTAATGTCTTAATAGATACAGACATGAACCCGAGGCTAAGCGACTTCGGCCTTGCTAGGCTGTATGATCACGGAGAAATATCACACACTACAGCTGTGGTTGGCACAATTGGGTATATTGCACCAGAATTGGCTCGCACAGGGAAGGCATCCACACGCTCTGATGTGTTTGCATATGGAGTTCTGCTCCTTGAAGTGGCTTGTGGACAGAGACCTATCGGCTCAGGCGAGTTCATATTGGCAGATTGGGTTATGGAGAATCATGTAATGGGTCGCATACTGGATACAGTTGATCCAAATTTGGATTCTAATTTCGTTGTTAAAGAGATGAAGTTGGTGCTGGAACTAGGTTTGCTTTGCACTCACTACCAACCAGAAGCTAGGCCTACCATGAGACAAGTGGTTCGATATCTCAACGAGGATGAGCAGCTTCCTGAAGTCGAAAACTGGAACCTTGTTGATTCCAGGCGGGTCAGTGAAATGAACTCCAGATTTATGAATGTCCTTTTGGGTGATACGATCACATCGTACCCTTCATCGACCATAGGTGAGATGTCCTGCAGTTCCATGAACACCGGCAGATAGTAGCGCTAATGTACTTTTCAACGTAAATTCTTTTCATTTATTTATTTTCGAATCAACATTGTAACACTTGTTTCATACAGAGATACATATTACAAAGATTATCTCAACTCTCTTTTAAGTTTATTAAACACTGGATTTGATGAAAACTATTGGCTCAAAATGCAACCAAATCCAAAACAAAAGAAGGGACACCTTAACTGTAGCCTCAATAAAGTGAGGATGTTCAAAGAGCCAAAAACCGAAAAGTAGAGAGATGTGTCCATAATGCAAAATCGACGAAAACAAGTTTCTAACTTCCATGACGCCTATCTTTAGACCTCAACGAATACCGCTATTAGACAGAAATTATCAATTACTCACAAATGAACCAGTCGCTTCTCATTGATTCATAATGCGCCTCATAATCGCATAAGCCCAAGCTGTTGTTTCACTTAGACTTTCGTCATCGGTTTGAAGACACTCTTGCAAAATTCCCTCAAAGAATGCAAAATCCCCAAACAGTGGCTTGATGGTTAGGCCAAGCACATCAACAAGGTCACCCAGCGCAGAAACTGCAGCTTTTGTGACATTGGCATCCCTATAAACAATGAACAAGGACATTGAATACGAACAAATCAGATTATAAACCAGAAAGACCAGACATTTCGGGTCAGAACACACACACAAATATATTAGAGAGAGAGAGAGAGAGAGAGAGAGAGAGAGAGTGAGACAATACCTGTTTACGTCCCTTAAAACCAATTCAATAAACTGCAGGAGATGTTGGGCATATGGCAACATGACCTCAGGCTTTGAATCCTTAAAGCCCTGAAGTATACCAGAATAAGCTTCAAAGATGCTACATTTTAGCTGGTTTCCGTATTCCATTAACTCCTCATCACTAGCGTCCATCCGAGCACAAAGCTCCGAAGCTCCCTGCATCATCTGCACTGCATAAGGGACATACTTCTCAAAATGTTCTCCAATTGCGAGACCTATGTCGCCAAAGACAGAGAATATGGGAGGCTTGACAGACCGGTGGAGCGCTTCACTTGACAAGTCCTTCATCAGGTGACTCATAATCCCGTCACAGTACGGTAATGCCTTCTCATCCAATGCACGGAAAATGTCACCAACCACCCCAACTGTGATAGCACATACTTGAAACTCCCCAAAATTCTGCAACCCCATCTCCAAATACTTGTACAATTCAGGAAGGTACTTCTCAAACCCAGGCCCAGTTGCATAAGCCAGTGCACCAATAGCAAGCATTGCTTCCTCATGTACTGTAGAACTACGACAGGCAAACACTCTAAGAAACAGAAGCATTATCTGATCAGCTGCTTCCAATATAAAACGCTTACTCTCATCATCACTGGTAAGCTTCTGAATAATAACCTGTAGAACACCACAAAAAGAAGCTTGCAAGTCTCCTTGCTTTTCCTGGTCATCTGACGATACAATCGAAAGTTCTAAAGTCTGGCCCAACTTATTCATAATAACAACAAGTAGTTGTGCTATAATTTGTGACGTTTCTTTAATATTAGAACACCTCACAACCGCATTCAACGATTCATAAGCAGAACACCTCAATCTAGAATCATCACCATCTGTACGACTAGCAGTGGAAATAAGACATTCAATGATGCCCGGGACATACGGAGTAAAGAGAGAGGAGCAGGTTTCCTCATACCCCTGAGAAAGGTGATAGATGGCCCAACAAACCTTCTCTGCAACATTTGGGGCATCCTTAGTGCCTTCCACCAATATTTCCACCACCTTTGGAAGGTTAGCAGAAGAAATCACAGTACTATCAGGACCGTGCAAAAACTCGAATATACGACTAAGAGTCCAGGCAGTAGTGTCTTTGACATGGTTATTTTCATCTTTCATTAACCTAAGCATAAAATCCAAACCTGAATGGACCAGAACAGATAGCTTCTCTGTGCTTGGGCCTTCAAGCACTGAGCCAAATGCAAATGTAGCTGCCTCACGACAGTGCCAATCTGGCTTCACTATGTTAGCCTCCACAAATGGCATCACAAGGGGCAGAATGGCATCTCCAACAGTCCTTGAAACAAGTTGTAGGCACGTCCCACCAGCCATCGCAACATTCCAAATGTTGTCATCTTGGTCTTGATTTTCTTCCTGTTTCAGCAAAGTTTCTAGCAACATTGGAACTAAAGATGACAAAGCTTTTTCTATAAATTTTGAATGAGAGTCCCCAGTGTCAGAGATCTCAAATTCTTGAAGCTCTATTTCTTCATCACAAATGGAGCTCCAAAACTCAATTGCTTGAAGGGCAACCGTCTCTTCATCCCCTTTTACAGCATTTGATGTAAGCTCAAAGAAAGCCTGCATGTAAGGCCCAAGCACCTCATAATATCTAGAAGCAATTGAAGCGAGACACTCAAAAGCAGCCTGCCTAATTTGAACCTCCTTAGACAAGGCCGTCTCGCAGACCATCTTCATGATGAAATCCCTTTCCATCTGAGTGTCAAAGTTGGTTTGTGCAAACTCCAGGGCATTATATAAAGCCCTTGTTGCAGCCAGACGAACTTCAGGGCTATTTTCAGCAAGGTTCATTCCCTGGACTACAGCAGTAAGAACATTGTTCACCTCGCCTTGCTCAAGATCTTGATGAGATATCTCCTCACATACATAACCAAGTGCTTCCAAGGTTGACTGCTTCAAACCAGCTGCACTATCTCGCTGAGTCATATTGTTGAGCAAAGACCCGATTAGGTCAGGCCATTGTTTCCTAGGAATATCAATAGATGCAATTTTTGCAATAACTTGGGCAGATGTGTGTCTTGCTTCCGGGACAGATGACCCAAGTGTCCTTAAGAGCAAGTCCTTAATTTGGGATACAATAGAAATATCTATAGCAATCCATTGTCGAGTAAGAAGTTCTTTTGTACCAGCATCTTTGGCATCTAATAAATTCTTAAGCACAAGACCAGCCAACGTACGGGATTCAGTGGGTTTCTCATTGTTTGCAAGCTCAACGGACAATGACAGAAGAAAAGCAGGAAGGTTTTGCTCTTGGAATTGCCTAATATTAGCCTCTGCTTCAGTACGAACCCTTGCATCGGCTGATTGAGCTGCCAATAGAAACTGAGTAATCTCCACAGCCATTTCGTTCCTACTACAAAAGAAGAGAGAAGCTAAAAAAGAATATAGAAACAGGAAAAAATTGTTTACTTAAAACCGATCATTTCTTAAGGCTATACAATATGTAGCAGACTATATATGTAATAAATTAAGAGAGACGTTATTCCCACTCCAATGTCTTATTTCTCCACCCACTTTTTGATAAAATTCTCAATTACAAGTTTGCCTATTTGTGAAATGACAGATAAGGACCTTAAAGGATATATAATAATACTAATATGGGCGCATAAAAGTAACAGAAGCTCTAGATTTACATTGGGTTGTGAAAGGAATGGGCAAAATGTAAGTTGAATTCGCAAAAAAAGACATAAAGGATAAAGATAGCGAAAAAGTGTGGATGTCTTTTTCCAATTAAAAGGTAAGAAGCTAGCAATTAATGATGATTGGATATTAATGGTAGTTACTGGAATGCATAATCATACATTTCAAGCATTATTCATTTGCTAGTAGACTATCGTCTGAGGAGACTTCGTTGTTGGGGAAATAGCATTTCAATTTTCCAGGAATAATAGCCGGTGGAAAATAGCATATTAGACGCTATTTTAAGAATAACACTGGGTGGGAAAATAGCATTTCAATACTTCACTTTTTATGGTGGATGGGAGTTTGAGGTGGGTGAAAGTAATCGATGGGTTGAGTCTGGCAGCTCTCTAAATTAATAAATCTACTAAAAAAACTCGTTAAATCACTATAGCACAGACACATTGCGCGAAACAACAACATGACCAATTTCAAAACCCTAATCGCATTTCAGATATCACAAATACTAGAACCAATTTCAAAACCCAGGGGAAAATCGAGCAGAAATAAACAAAATCAGAGCATCTATCACCACAAACGTAAACCGAAGTCCACAGATTGAGATTAGAAGAACGAGAATTACCACGTGCGGTAGCCGATTGAGTAGCAGCAGCGGCGAGCTCGCTCTAAAACCCCACTCGACGAACAAGTAGAGCGAGAAGCGAGGACGACTTCCCTTCTCTGTACGTTTGCGCCGTGAGAAGGCAAAGCACACAGAGAAGAAAGAGAGAGGGAGGAGAGAGAGTGCGGAGGAAGATGAACTAATCGGCGATTTATACAAATGGTTGTTTATTTCGAATGGGTGGAAGAAGCGGGAGGGAGGGAAGAAGGGTCACCTGGGCAGGGGTCTTGTGCCTGCCCGAGCTACCCGGGTCAACCGCCTTTGAAAACCCTAGTATTTGAAGTCTCCCACGTGTGAGTGGTTGTGATATGATTCAGTTCAGCAAATTACCAAAACTACCATTGTATTTTAGGATCTCAACAAAAAATCGTACGCGTTGTTTGGATTACCGTCAATGGACATACATGTACCTTTGAAATTCTATTGACCATAAACATTGCACTAAGGTCGATCCAACGTTGACGATTTAATGACCTTAAGAAAACATGCTTTGTATATTTTGAAAATTCATTAATAATAAAAAATGCATTAGCATTTGGTAATTTGATAGCCTTAAAGAGGTATGTGCGGCAAGCGTGAGTGTGTGAACTTAAGGTAAAATACATTGCACAAGAAGTATAGGATGATATGAAACACGTGTAATCGTTAGGATTCACACGTGGGCTGACCAGACTAATACCATAAAAAAATGTTATAGCTATACAATACATCAAGTAGGATTCACATGTAGCGATGCTTTGTTTCAGGTCAATCATCTAACAAATTGGGAACTACGCACTAATAGAGGTGCTCCAAACTCTTAATCAAAAATAAAACCAGACAGACGTCTTAAGCGTGCATCTAATTCTATTTTTGATAAAAAGTTTGTAATTAGTTCTATCTGTATTTTCCAAAAAACTAACAAGACAACAGAAATCCTCATACCCTATATCGTAAGAGAAAAGTTAGTGCGGAAAGAGTGTCCAAGAGAAGAGGAGGATGCAGATCTGGCTCCGAATTTGGCACCAATAAGCCTCTTTGAAAATAAATCATTTTCGGGCCGGTTCTTGATGAAAACCGTGAAGCTTATACAACAAATGAGAGAACAGAACGACAAAATTACAACACACTGCAAACGACCTGGCAAAAACAAAGGGTAGACGCATCTAAATTGGACAGACACATCACAAGCTCACATGATCATGTACAAGATGATTTTCGCCTTTGGTTACTTCCGCTCCCATCTTTGCTGGAGTAGTATATCAGACAGTAGCAGCAGCAGGTCTCTGCGCTACTTAATAAGTTGATCCAATCAATAAGTCGATCTATTTACATGCTATCTTGCTCCCCTCTACTCTCCTCCTTTGTGAATCCAAATTCCGTCCTTGCTTCCGCTTTACATACCCTTTTCCAAGGCCATGGGAATCTACAATTGCACGTTTCTAGAGACAAAATCCAACGGATTGCCTATGCTGACAAGTGCTGGCCATTTCCATGTTAAATGAATCGGGGAGCAACGGCATGATTGCCCCCAGACGGTAATGAATAATCGCTCTGTGGTTCTCTCACTTCTTTTGTTCATTGACACGTTCCCGTGCTTTAGAATAGAGTTCATGAGTGTCAGCATGGTTGGGATCAAGACAGAGGGCTGCTTCACAGTCTCGCACGGTGGAAACAAAATTGCTCATTGACTCGTGGAATGCTGCTCGAAGATGTAGCAGTTGCAGGTCTAGCTTGAAAGTTATGGCTTTTGTTAGCTCTTCAATGGCTTCTCCTTCTTTGTGGTCATCCATTAAAACTGTTGGGCCATAATTCCCGTGTTAGTAGTTCAGAGTTTTTTCAAACACACTCACTGTCACAGACTCAGAAGCCCTTGTTAACAATACACTTCAGAGAAAAACAATTCAAACTCAAAACTTTAGAAAGACCAAAAAAACCCCACTGCCTTTGTAAGGGGAAGGGCACCAAAAATAAGAATCCATAAGAACATCACAAGTGGATAGACGAGGTTTTATCATTCTCCAGTTGAGCTCTTGAAGTGTTTTTTTATAGAACTTACAGTTCTCAGGTTTTTTTTCTCTAATTTATTATTTATTAAACAATCTACTTCCATCTTTTATAGTAAGTTTGACCAGTTACTAACAAGTTTCAAGTTGGCAAATACATCAGCATGCAGATTTCTATATAAACTATCAGTGTTCAGTTAAAATCCTACTACGAAACAATAAAGCCCTCTAAACTGACAAATACTTAGTAATTGAAACTCCAACGAGCAGAATGGGCCACTAGCCCATCTGCTTGAAGACCTAGATATGTCTATTCTAGTTTCTAAGTGATTGAATCAACATATAGCAGCTCTACACTAAGTTAAGGCCCAAGGATTTGGAATCAATAATGACAGGCATCTCTGTGTATTTAAATAGTAAGAAAAACGACATGCATGCAGTAGGGCGTTCATCTATGAGCACTAAGACTTAACCATAAGCAACAACTTCCACTTAAAATGGCAGGCATCAAACAAAAGAACCATAGTCAGAACATACCTGCTGCCCTATATCTGTACGGATATGTCCTCAGGGGATCTAGTTGTGTTGCCATACTTAGATCACTCTTTGCCATGTCACGGTCACAGTATTCTGAACGTTTCTCAAAAGCTGATGCATTGTTTCGAGCCTTCTCTATCAGCTTTGTCATCTCATCATATGCAGCCTTGCGTTGATTTTTAAGGTGATATACTCGTGCTAGACCTTGATGTGCTCTTGTATGCTTAATGTTGAGCGCATTTGTGTAGCAGTCGGCAGCAAGATCCAGCTTATCAGAATCTACATAGACACTTCCTAAATTATTTAGTGCCTGCAGGATAACATACCAATCTGATTAATTTGACGTTTAGATAACAAGATCAAAAAAATTATTCTTAGGATGACACTTACTTGTCCTTTTCTAAGACCATCCGAAGGGCATCTAAGTGCTTCCTCTAGAAGCTGGATCACATATGTTGAAGAATCAGAATCAAGATTTGAGTCTGCTAAAGCATATGCTTTAAGGAAAAATGCTTCAAATGATCTCTGGATAGCAATGGACTCCTCTGCTTTTGCCAATGCTTCTTCACGATGGCCAGTGTCATACAAGATCCATCCTTCATAGACAAGCCTCTCATGCTCAGAACTAGAATGATTCCGGGCCAACCGCAGACTATGCATAGCAGCCTTTTGACAATTTAACCTATGATTTTCAGGAATGTCAGAGATGCTTCTAAAACAGACTAATATAACAACCAACGACATCAAAGAAGCAATAGAAATTGGAATAAGTGGATTGTCATCCTTCTCTATGATATCTTAGGATCAGATGAGGTTTAGAATTCTGCCCAACATGCACTATAAGTCCGTCAGGCACATACAATTCCTATGAACTGAAAGTGACAAATTCTACGTGTGTCAAGAACTGTAGATGTTATTTTCTGGATTAAGCCCTTCATACAAAAACAATACTACTGATTTTTAAAAAGGAAGTTAATTAAATCCAAAAGCAAATTATACATAGGCTAGTTGGTATAGTAAGGTAACACTTTCTCCTACTTACCGCAACAGAAGGAGAGACTGCCTAAAGCGTAGAAGGCTCTTCCCAGGGTCATTGGCCAGCATATGATGTACAACAGCTAGAGAACCAATATCATCAACAGAGGACCATCGATCATATAGTTGCATCCAACAATCAGCCTGACTCCACTGTTGAACCAAAGGGCAGAGCAGCTCTGCCAGATGGTCACCATGCATTTTCCCATGAAACATCATGTAATTTGGGTCCAAAGTCAAGAGTGCCCGGACATCTCTGAGAGCTCCTTCAAAATCTTCAAGGGCAATTGAAAACCAAGCCCGCAATTCGAGACAATCAGGGGAGACCTTGAAACTAATTATCTTATTGATCTCTGTAATAGCTGCTTCAAACTGGTTCTCCTCCAACAACAAAGCAGCCCTATACTTGTATGGATAAGATAGAGTTGGATCCAAGTGAGTAGCGGTGCTCAAATCCATCATCTTTTCCTTTCCAATACAATACAGAGATCGCTCCTGATACATCCACCCAACCGGTGTATAATCAGAAATGAGAGAGTTCATTTGCTTGTAAGCCGCATACTTATGGCCACGCTTGAACTTGGCCCTTGCAATGCCCACCAAGGAATAAATATGACCAACCTCTACTGCTGCCTCAAACCACCACTGAGCATCTTTAAATTCTTTCCTCTCAAGCATTACAACACCTAACAGGTGAAATGCAAGTTGCTTCTGCCAACTTTCGGTGGCACACTCTGCCAGCCTCTCTAGAAGCATCACCGTTGTGTTCGATCTCATGTCATCCTCAATAGCAACCTGGCTCAAAAAATAATACAAAACGAAAGAAGAGTGCCCGGACATAGCCAACCTTTGCCTAGCTTCTGAAGTACAAAATAATCTCATCATATGAGAATTGTACAACGAACTCGGTAGCTCCCTCAAAAACACCTGCAAACAAGCTGCCACGATAAAATGAGCAGTCTCCTCCAACCCATAGTCAATCAGCAGTATTGCATCTTCCAGTTCACAAACCAGAGATGCCAAATGAGAATCACATGCTGTCTTCAACTCATCGCAACAAAACGTGTTTGCAAAGGATAGCAGGTCCAAAACAGTTTTCACTTCAAAAGAATCTACTCTTTTTATCCTGCTAAAAATCTCCACTGCCTTCATTGCCTCCACAGATATCCCATTCTGTGTGAAATTTATCTTCTCCCTTCGTGTCTCCGTGAAGTTACCGTACAACATTGCATTAAAAGGCCTCGAAAGCGAAGCAATGTTGTACCGAACACACCTAATCTCAGCATCTCCAATACAAAACGACATATCACCATCCTCCTCTGAAGTGGAACATTCGTCATCCCCCATCACAAGATCATCATCGTCATCTTGTCCCCCGCGGCGTCCTAGAACACATACAAGACTCAAAAACAGACTCCGGATCATACCCGGAAACCAAACTAGCCTTCGGACATTCAACATTTCTACCACAACAATCCATTGCTGACGACCCAATAAGCTCATCCTCTCTCCTCTCATACCTCAACCAAGACGCCAGCACCACCTTCGAGTGCACATCAACCGCGTGCTGCCTCGCCGACCTGAGGCTCCGCCGGAACAATTTCGGATCCGAAAGGCCCCGAAACGTCGCACATTGCTCCAAATACATCTTCCACTTCTCGAATTGGGGGCAAATCACAATCCTAC